CATTGAATTTGACCCACAGCCATTTTCTTCCGTTTACTGTCTCCAAGCGAATTTTCTGGAAACAAGGTATGAGGGTGGCGTGAATGTGCTGGCGCTGGTGGACTATGCCCCTTGACTTAATAGACATGCAGGCCGCAATGGCATGCTCATGGACCCCCTTAAGGGGGGCTATGGGCAGGGCTGGGCTATCCATCATTAACCCCTTCAGAAGGCCTTATTAAGGGCTTATCCTAGGCTTATGCAGGGATAGCCCGCCCATGGGCCTTGTAGGGGTCCATGACATGTTGATTGCCGTGTAGGCAGACTTCGTTTTTCGGGACACCGCGGAGCTGTCGCTGGAAGACTTTGTCGAAACCGTTTTGCAGTTCCGCGGCCAGAGTCCAGCTACGGTCAAGGCGAGTTGCACATCCAACCATTCTTGCATTTGCTGAGATGAATATGTTTTATCTTGCTGGTGCTCAGTAGGGAATGTGAGAATGACCCCAGAGGTCTCCTCAAAGGAAGCCACAAGGGATGGTTTATAAGGGTCTTTCCAACTCATTCACTGCTGAGCAACAGCAAGTTATTTTCCCTTGTTGCTTTTAAAGGGAATTCTTCACTACGGGACATATGTTCTCATTTGTCCAGGGGACTCTACTGCAAATGGAAGTTTTCGAGGCACAACTGTCCCAACTCCATGTTATTCCGGCAACCCGTTTTGAAGTTCTGGTTCTTGTAGAGAGTAGATTGGAAAGTGCCCTTAACCACCAAACCACCCATCGAAACCACCAATTAGGGGAAGTTGAGTTGTATCATTTTCGGAAATTTGGCTGTCCATGTCCCGGTTGCGATGAACACTACATGCGGTACTTGGGGTAGGCCGCAGAGACTCGCGGTTAGAGCGTGCCAGGATGTGGTTGACCTCCGCGTAATGGTCACCAAGGAGAGAAAAAGAGTTCCGTGCCTTTGAGTTTTGCTCGCCTGCTTGCTTTACTCCAAGGGTTTTCCTATTACATCCTGAGATCACGCCCTCTGAAAAATCACCCTATTCTAGCCTATGTCCAGACTTTTTTTTTGGGGGGGGGATTATGTGAGGCAATTTATGCATGCTTGCTTTCTTGCTTATGTATTGGGCCTCAGGAGATGGCCAGACTGGACAAGGCCGTGGCCAGCGTATCGCCAGCCAAATGAGATGGAAGCAGGTGGGGGGCCGGCCACCGGCCGCCCGAAGGGGGGGAAGGGAGCCGCAGAACTGCCGCCCGCACACCAATTAACATGGAACCTGACGCGTGGGACGCGGTCCCTTTAAGAGGAAATTGGTCCAAGCTAGGACCTCCCTGTCAGGTTCCATGATTGGAAGGGAAATGTGCCCACTTACCTCAGTTCCATGTTAATTGGTGGGAGCTAGGGCGCTCACTGAGAATGCGAAGTTTGGTCTTTTGTCAGTATAGTCCTAGGATTTCGGACTCATGCCTTCGAAAGAGCCAATCCTTATTCAACATGATGGGTCAACGGAAAGGGGGAGGTTGGCGCGCTTCGAAGGCCGGCTTCTGCCAAGTCACTGTGCAACTCAGCATTCATGCTGCCGCCTGGGCCGCGAAAACGGCAGCACGCAGATTTGTTGCGATACGAAGAAGCAAAGGTCGCCATGGGTCAAAAGCCCGTACCCCCAGTGAACATCCCAATCCCCACCAAACTGGACTAAAATGGGTGGTGCACCTACCCCAAAATGGTGCCATTGGTTTTGACCCACGGCCATATGACCGTGACGAAGTTACCGCGTTGCCCCCAGCCTCCGACCCCCCTCCCAGGACCAGGTTTGTCGCAAAAACAATGCAAACACACACATTGCAGGAGGAGGCCAAGGCCTTGCAATTGCAATTGCGGCAAACCCCCCCTCTGTTGACACAACATGTTAAACGCTGTGACAAGTCCATAGTCGAACACCAAGCTCGACTTACTGTGGATGACAAATTCCTGCACCACCTGAGAAGCCCTTGATGATTTCCCTGCAATTACCACCAAACCATGGTTTCAACCAATGGTCTCATTCCATGGTGCGACGGATCTCGCAACCATCCACATTGAAGCACCGCAGCCTCCCGCTGGCTCTCGTCCATCAGGCGCCAGGTCCTCAACAGCTGCTGATGCTCTCGCGAGCGAAGCGTGGCGAGCCAAACGGCTGGCCTGAGCCTTCAAACAAGCCTCGTGTGGATGAAGGAAGGCTGTGCTTGTTTCTATCCCAGAAAACGACTTGGATGCGTTTGCTGACGGATTCCCCACGGTGCCTCACTAGTTGTTCCTTTCTTAGTACTTCTATTACTCTTTAGTACTGTTTTGCTGTCCTACAGGGGCGATCCACAGAGCCGCATCCAAGCTTCCTAGATTCTAGGTAAGCATGAAAACAGACCCAAAAAGCCTAGGCTTCGCAGAGAGTCCCCTGCGAAGCCTCTCTTGCAAAGCCTCTCAAGCTGGAAGGCTCCATCGATTGATTGGCACGCGGCGAAGAGGCCGCACGAATTCCTGCTCGACGAAATTTTGGCACGAGAAGTGCATTTTTTGGCTCCAGAAGCTTCTGGAGCCCGCCGAGTTCCGCGATGCCCTGAATTTGAAAATCGCACGACAAAATCGCATCGACCCAGGCGGCTCAGCTTCAAGAAGCCATGGGCAGGGCGTTCAAATCGCCCAACCTTGCGGCCTTGCAGCCAATGCTCGAGCTTGCTCCATGCGTGTTTGACTCATGTTTTTGCTCCGCGGTCGCCTCAGCCATGAGTCTGGTATAACCGGTATATACAAAGCCGGAAGGATCCGAGCGCAACTGCACAGCATGTCAACCCTGCTGGCGAAAGATCAATGGCCAGCCGGTCACAGCCGAAGGGTGACTCTTGGTGGCTTGGATTGGTGATTGACCCCCTGGGTTTTGTAGATGGCACATGGCAAGCACCACGATTGACCGCCAAGCCAAGCCAAACCACCAGTTTGGTGGGAAGCTGAAAAGGGGCGGTGCACTCCCGCCTTGCGCCATGCTGGCCGCGGACCGCGCGGCTTTCCGCGCCCTGCTGCGCGTCTGCCGCCATGCGGATCGCAATCCCATCGCCCAGCTGGGCGTTATAGGCCGTCCGCTCTGGCAGTGGGACTGGCAGCGGCAGCAGGCATGCGCAAAGTGACCGGGGGGGGGGTCTTTTTTTTTTTTTTTTTTTTTTTTTGATGATGGTGTTAAAGGGGAAACGAAAGGAACCAGCCATATTGGGTCATCAATCCTCCTATTTTCTCGGCAGGCTTTGAATATAGCCATAGCTATAGCTCGTGCACTTTGGCCTTCAGGTTGTCCGCAGGTGCTTTGGCAAGTCGCCGTTTGCCGAGGACATGATTTGGGAGGCTTGCGTTGCAAAGAACAGATCGATGCGTGCGTATCGCAGGTGGCTGAGTGTGGTGGGTCGGTGGGTCGGTGGGCGGACGGATGGGCGGGCAGGTGTGCGTCTGCGCTTTTGTTGTTGTGTGTTTTTGTGTTTTGTATGTTTGTGATTTCTGTGCGTGCCAGAAACTGATTCATTCATAGGTTGGTTGCTTGGATTGGATTGATTAGATGATTTGGTTTGGTTTGGTTTGGCCTGATTTGATTTGATTGATTGATTCATTCATTGATTCATTGATTGATTGATTGATTCATTCATTGCTTCATTGATTCATTGATTCATTGATTCATTGATTGAATCATTGATTCATTGAGTCATTGAATCATTGATTCATTGATTGATTCATTGATTGATTTATATATTTGATTTGATTTGGTTTGATTTGATTTGATTTGTTTGATTTGATTGGATTGATTGGATTGATTGGATTGATTGGATTGATTGGATTGACTGGATTGACTGGATTGACTGGATTGACTGGATTGACTGATTGGTTTGATTGATTGATTGATTGATTGATTTGATTGATTGATTGATTGATTGATTGATTGATTGATTGATTGATTGATTGATTGATTGATTGCCTGGATTGCCTCGATTGCCTCGATCGATTGCTTTGATTGCCTTGATTGACTTGATTGACTTGATTGACTGATGGATGGGTTGGATTGGATTGATTAAAATGTGTTGACTTGATTTGTTTTGTTTGATTGGGTTGAATTAGTTTGATTGATTTGGTTGGTTGGATTGGTTGGATTGGTTGGGTTGGTTGGGTTGGTTGGGTTGGATACTGTTTGGATTGGCTTGGTTGATTGGGTTGGTTGGATTGGTTTAGTTGGTTGGATTGGTTTGGTCGATTGGGTTAATTGGATTGGTTGGGGGTTGAAGTGACTTGATTGATGTGTTTGAGTTGGTTAGTATGATTGAAACACGTGTTTGCTTGTTTGCTTGTTTGTGTGTGTGCGTGTGTTAGTTGGTCTGTTTGTTGGTTTGTTTGTTGGCTTGGTTGCTGGATTGTTTGTTTGTGTTTTCCCGAAAGCATGGCGAAGGGTTCTTCCGCTGGGTTCACTTGAGTTGTTCTCATGAGAGTCATTACAAGGTGTCATTGCAAGGAGTCATCATCATGAAAGTCAATGCAAGGAGTCATTGCAAGGAGTCATTGCAAGGAGTCATTGCAAGGAATCATTGCAAGGAGTCATTGCACGGAGTCATTGCAAGGAGTCATTGCAAGGAGCCATTGCAAGGAGCCATTGCAAGGAGTCATTGCAAGGAGTCATTGCAAGGAGTCACGTCAAGGAGTCATTGCAAGGAGTCATGTCAAGGAGTCATTGCAAGGAGTCATGTCAAGGAGTCATTGCAAGGAGTCATTGCAAGGAGTCATTGCAAGGAGTCATTGCAAGGAGTCATTGCAAGGAGTCATTGCAAGGAGTCATTGCAAGGAGTCATTGCAAGGAGTCATTGCAAGGAGTCATTGCAAGGAGTCATTGCAAGGAGTCATTGCAAGGAGTCATTGCAAGGAGTCATTGCAAGCAGCCAAGTGCAAGCTGCAAGTGCAAGGAGTCAAGTGCAAGTTGCAAGTGCAAGTGCATGGAGTCAAGTGCAAGTTGCAAGTGCAAGGAGCCAAGTGCAAGTTGCAAGTGCAAGGAGTCAAGTGCAATTGACTTGCGAGGAGTTAAAATCTCTTCTTAGGGCGGCGGGGTAGTGCCGACGACACTACACGAAAACCGACCCTCTGCGGGGATCGGCGTGGTCGAGGTGCAAAAACCCATGGTTTTTTGCGATTTCTAACCTGCTCGCGCGACCCTCTGCGGGGATCGGCGTGGTCGAGGTGCAAAAACCCATGGTTTTTTTCGAGGTGCAAAAACCCATGGTTTTTTGCGATTTCTGCGGTGCTCGCGCGACCCTCTGCGGGGATCGGCGTGGTCGAGGTGCAAAAACCCATGGTTTTTTGCGATTTCTGCGGTGCTCGCGCAACCCTCTGCGGGATCGGCGTGGTCGAGGTGCAAAAACTCGAGGTTTTTTGCGACTTTTGTTGTTCGAGCTGGTCCTCGGGAGTTGTCTCGTGGTTCGCGCGCCTGCTCCCGGAACCGGCGGGTCGCGGGTTCGATTCCTCCCTGGTCCGCGGGCGGGCGTCGCAAGATGCAACTTGCATTTTAAAGCAACTTGCGCAGAGCAACTTGCGCAGAGCAAGTTGCACAGAGCAACTTGCGCAGACCAACTTGCACCGACCAGTTTGCGCAGAGCGCCTTGCCTAGAGCAACTTGCGCAGAGCAACTTACGCAGAGCAACTTGCACAGAGCAACTTGCACAGAGCAGCTTGCACAGAGCAACTTGCAGGGAGCGCAATTTGCACAGAGCAACTTGCAGGGAGCCACTTGCAGGGACCAACTTGCCGGAGCAACTTGCGCGGAGCAACTTGCGCAGAGCAACTTGCACAGTGCAACTTGCGTAGAGCAACTTGCGCAGACCAACTTGCACCGACCAGTTTGCGCAGAGCACCTTGCCTGGTGCTGTCTCGCGCTTGCTTCACAAATGCTTCGTGGAGGGAAAAAGAACGCATCCTGCAGCGTTGTGCCGACCTCGCTTGCGATGTTATGCTTTCGGGCCAACCGTGGTCTAGTTTTTGTTGGTCGGTGGGTCGGTTTGTTGGTTGATTTGTTTGTTTGTTTGTTTGTTGGTTGGTTGGTTGGTTTGTTTCTTTGTTTGTTTGCTTTCCTGCCTGCTTGCTTTCCTGCCTGCTTGCCTGCCTGCCTGCTTGCTTTCTCCTGTGTTAGATTGCGGGTTTGTGAGGCTTTGTGCTGTCCTGCGACCTGTTTTTTGCGACCCCTTTCCCAGAGGCCTGCGGCAACTCCTTGCAGTTCGCTATGCCTCGCCAAAGTGCCGCACGAGCATGTCGAGCTTTGGCAGATTCGGCTTGGGACAAGCTGTTGTGCTTTGTATTTGGACAAATCCGTTGCCCAAGGTCGATGTTATTTGTATTTGGACCAATCCTTGGGCCCTGGTCCCCTAGATGTGCTAGCCTTCGGGCATTTGTCCCCAAGGCGGGACCCCTATCCTATCTACGATGCAATGCTCACTTTGACACAGTTTGACCGTGTTACTCCTTGCTGTTCTGATGGCACATGTTTTTGTACTTTTTTGGCAGCAAAACCAAAAAACAAAGTCAAATCTCCAGCAAGCCCCCAAAAGTGGGTCAAGCATGACGCACAGTGCAACATCACTGCGCTGCGATATAAGCACAAGGGCCTGTGAAGCAGGCAGGGTGCAACAAACACTCCACAAACTTGATCCTGCGCAAAGCTTGTTCCCAAATCATAAGCCCAGGTTCCGGTCACCGTCCTGTGATCCCAAAAGAAATCCCCTTCAACGTGATAGCGAGGTGGGGGTGGAACACCACTTTGGCATCGCAGATTTCGAGTTATGTTTGCCCAGGTACCTCACATTGCGCTGGGATAATGGAGCTGTATACCTGACAGTCTTCTTTCTGCTCGAATCTCTTTCTCGCGATTCGAGAGGGGGCCCTGCATTCCCTAAAAACGTCATCCCTCCAAAAGGAACCTCGCTTTCGTTTCACGTTTCACCTTACCCCTGGCAGGTGGTTTGGTTTGGTGTCCCGCTTGATTTGGTGCAGAAAGGGGTCCGCAGCATTCGGCACATTCTTGGGGCTTGGCAGGGGGCGCAGTTGAGCCGCCCTGCACAGGCTGGACTGTTTTGCCACCTGCGCGACTGTTCCGTTACACATGGCCCGGGCGCATGCTTTGCTATTTGTTGTGACTTGCCATTTCGACATGGGTGTGCGTCAAAATTGACCAGCTGCGGCTACGCAGGTTTTAGTCCACCTTTCCATTTACCACGGTTTCATTTTGGACACCGCTTTTTGAGCCACACCCACAGGTCTGGTTTTTCCGTTTCGTTTCCACCTGCCGTTGCATTTTGGAAGTTTTCCGTCTTGGTGGATGGCCCTTTCGACGGCCCTTCAGCGAGATCTACGAAAAGGACTTGAGGGATATCTAGGGGCTGGTGAAAAAGGCGTTGATACCTCCGCAAAGGGTGCCTCCTCAAGTTGACCTGGGCAATTGTCTCTGGAAATGCTTCGCATGCTCTG